GGCCGAGCTCAATAATTATAAATCTAAGCATTTCGAGTGTCTAGCTCACCAGGCTACCTGACAAGACCATCCTAATGCTGCCATACAGAGCTTTGGGACAGACCTGACACAGCTAATGCAGAAGTGTTTGATGGCGAAATTCTGTCCTCTGGAGATGTCTATCATGCACACCTCTTACTTGTGTCGCAATTTAATCTCGTAGGTTGGTGGACATTATTGATATTTATATTTGGGGGTGAGTGAGATGGCTCTGTCTGCCAGCAGACCATGCAAAAGGTATTGACTTTTTGTTGTGGGGGAGCAGGGAGAAGCGGGTAAGTCTCCTGTGGAACAAGTAATTGCTTACCCTACCTGCTTTCAACACATGATTGGTAACCAGAGTTGGCCATTTTCTGTTTTAGTCCATCGAGTTTTGTCATAAGACAAATTATGATGCCACAAGGTATGTAATGGGCTTATTTTGTTCCATACTCTTGATTATATGCCCCAAATTTCTTGAAGTGGTCCCTCATGGCTGTTTTAACCAGATGATTTCTATAGCTGTCATGGATTGCTGACTGGCAAATGACTGTACTGTATAAATGCATTATATTTTTAACACAGGGATGCTCTAAGCTGCATAGCAATTATAATACGAGTTAAATATTAGTGTGTAACAATTAGTCAGACCATCCCATTTAAAATGCGAAGCCAACATCTAAGGCTTTGTCATTAAATATGAATAAACAAACCTAAGTAGATGCCTCTGAAGAGATTGTAGAAGAGATTGTTTTGTGGATCATACCCAATATCGCTCTTGACATAGGTTAATCAAAATAAGCAATCGCTTATTTTGATTACACCCGCTTCCCGCTTATACCCGATTTGATATACCCGCTTCTCTCTGCTCCCCCACAACAAAAAGTCAATACATTCGGCATGGTCTGCTGGCATAAATCAAATAAGCAACCACGGCAATCAAAATAAGTTGGTTAAAGTGATTTAGAGTGTTTTGATTTGTGTGTTGTCAGCTTTGTCTGATATCAACAAGCATACACAAATGAACAATAAACATGAAAGCTGAAACCAGCCAAAAATTTGCCATATCATGTTTTTATTACAAATGCTGCTGTCAACAAACAGGTGAGTTAAAAGGATGTTCAACATATGGCCTACTCTAAGTTAGGTTAAGTTGGTTAGGCGCATGGCAAGTGGCAATAGGAATTGTGCAAGGATCAGTAACTCACAACTGCTGCTGTGATACAAGCAGGTTAGACAGGATGAGATGAAGTAAGGTTCCTTTAGGTTAGGCATAGTTGGGCTACTTTCATGGAAATAAACATTGGTGTTTTGTAAGAAACAGTGGCAACATTTTTGTTTTCCCCGACCCCATCTTAACAGAAGCCTGAGGTATGTCTATTGTGGTTGACTTGGTGATGGGCTGATGTGTAGGAGTCCAAGGTTTTCTTTGTTTGAGTATTTTATGTTTGTTGAATTTTTTGTTGTTATTTTGTTATTGAATTCCTTTGCTTTGTCTTGTGTTAAAAGTACTGTGGAGGCAAAGTGCGAAGTGCAGCATCAAATTATTGGTGTTAATAATTTTTATGTTCATTGCATTGTCATGAAGTTACTATGCTTGAAAGTATTCTGTTTCACTTTAATGGCCAAAGATGTGAAAAAGAAGCAGCTTTGTCAGGTTTCTGATATTACGTCCATGCCAGCTTGAAAGAGATGTCTTTGTTTGCTAAAGCATCAGTTACGAGCCCATCAGTTCCATCTTTTGTGAATTGATTTTTTCGCTCCCGCACGATCTTTTCGCGACGGAATTTTTCACTCCCACCCTAGTTCAAAAGCGATTCTAGCTCCCTGGGTGATAGTGTAGGAAATGAGGGGCGAGGGGGTAACACAGAACGCATTTTTTACCTGTGACGTTGTCAGTGTTAGTTTGCTACCAATATTTTCGTATCAGTATAAATCGAAGTAGTTAGCTATCGTAGTCCCACTAGTTTGGGCATCCCATTCTTTATTAAAATTAGATGAGTTTGACCTAAATTTCATTTGAAATGAGTTAAGGATTGCCGGGAAAAACTAGGGTCATGACCAAAGTACGTTTTGGTGACCGACGAAACAACAAAGCAGGATATCTTAAATGCGCAATCTGCATCTGACTAGAATAAGGATGTGAACAAACCGCACCCAATACCAGTACGTCAAAGCGATAATAAGCCTACACGACAAGGCCACTGACCACGAGACTTCGATGATGTCATATCACTACGACATAGTCACGCTCCCTCTCGTAAGAATTCAGGAGGCAATGAGACTTTTTTTCTCAAAATTTTGATATCTCTCCCACGCGTATCAGCACACGTTATCAATTACACATGAAACTTGCTTCTACATTGGGTGTTTTTATCTCATTTGTTTTATTTTCCGCTCAGTACTCAATCTGCGCAGGTGAGTTAAAAGGGTTAAAACTTTTTTCTCAAAATTTTGATATCTCTCCCACGCGTATCAGCACACGTTATCAATTACACATGAAACTTGCTTCTACATTGGGTGTTTTTATCTCATTTGTTTTATTTTCCGCTCAGTACTCAATCTGATTGATTTCTTACCGCGGCGACGCCTCTTCAGCCTTCCGTTCATGCTCTATCGTCCTCCGCCATCCCTCCAAACGTTTAGACTCGCGCTTAAACTCATCTTATCTCGATGGCGTTTGAATCAAGATTTTCAACATCACCTGAGTGTGTGAGTCCCGGCTAACATTACCTGAGTGTATGAGCCTCGGCTTACACCATCTGAGTGTATGAGCCTCGGCTAACATCATCTGAGTGTATGAGCCTCGGCTAACATCACCTGAGTGTATGAGCCTCGGCTAACATCACCTGAGTGTATGAGCCTCAGCTAACATCACCTGAGTGTATGAGCCTCGGCTAACATTACCTGAGTGCATGAGGCTCGGCTAACATCACCTGAGCGTATGAGCCTCGGCTAACATCACCTGAGTGTATGAGCCTCGGCTCGTGTTCCGTTCCAGTGTGCTCGGCATTTGTGCCGTAGTCACGAGAAGTTATTTAATACCCTATCCATTCCACCACCACACCACGCGTGCCCACTTTCTTACGCCAAGCAGCCACCATGCACACGCCGACCAGCACAGGTGCAGTTAGTGTGGCCAGTCAGCGCGGGTGGGTGCTGTCAGTGTCGCTAGTCAGCGCGGGTGGCTGCAGCCCATCAGTGCTCAGTATTCAAGCATCTCACTCCATTCCGTACCCCGCCCCCATCCCCCCACCCCCGTCATCTTACTGCTGTCGCAGTGGAGGAGCGCTTCCATTCGCCACCTCGGAGTCTCTACTCTTTCCACCGGAGGCCGTTCAGGAAGGCGCCATGCCAGCCGGGCGGCGGCACGGCCGCGCCCGCACCGTTTGAGGTCGGCTATGCGCTCGGCACGTCCATTAGCCGGAGATAACATGGGGACGAGGTGGGCTGGGCGGCCGGAGGACGGCGCGCCGTCTCATTAGGCTATTAGTCGCGCAGTCGCGCTGCTCGACGCCGACGGCCGCCACTCGGCCGCCCCCTTTATCAGCCGGCGGCTAATTGAAATTTTACAACTTGGCCGCCGTCATGACGTCACGGGATTCGTTATTGTCTCAGTTGCGCCGAACGGCCCGCCGACGAAATTTCGTCGGCGACAACTGTCAAACGGGCGAACTTTTCGGCCGGCCGCGTCTTGGACGGCAGCTGTAACTCAGCCAATCGGGTTCGTCGGAAGCATGAGGGGGAGGGATCTGTCGTGTCTCCCGAAGTCAGCACAAAGACCGCGGGCGGCGGACGCCGACGCTTATGACCTGCCCAAAGCCTGTTGATTATAGGCATTAAAAGTCGCTTACATAATGAAATACGCCCACTTTCGCCCATTCATTACAAAACTAAAACAAGGCGAAACTTTCGAGGCGACTTGCGGAATAAGCCCAAAGATTACACCAGCTACGGTGTGGTTTTGGAACAGTTCAACCGTAAATTTACCAGGAATTTCTGGGCGCCAGGGTGGCGCCGGGTAATGAATGGCAACTTTGGCTGCCTCAGGCAATAGTTGGGGCCCGCGTCTGGGCTAATATGATTAGGGAATTACATCTGTTTGTGGACAGGGACGTTGTTTTTGTGAGTTCGGGACGACCTGTCTGCTTGTTTGCCTGCGTGCGATTGCAGAGCATTCAAGCGAAACCGACCAAAGGCTGAATTATGAGAGCATTCAGACAGCCAGCGTTTCTTTGATCACGTGCTTAGGTACGAGATTGCTAAAACATAGTCAACTGCCATTGTGTGGCACGATTTATACGCTCAGTAGTAAATTATAATGGTGTTAATGAAGGTTTATCGCTAGCGATGTTAAAAAGCACAAAGAAATGTAATGGGGTGCTGCGTAAACAATCATACCTGAAGTGCTTTCAGAATATTATTATTTCAGACACCTTTCCCGGGAAAGAGGCATCCGAACATATTCTTAAAATTCCTGGAAATATATAGGTGCTGGTTATTAGCCATGTCACACAGTATGTAAGCCTGCTTCAACACGGCTAACTTTAGCAGCTTGCTGCTCGGTCAATCAAACTTAGCCACCATTAATGCTGCTCGGATGCTGCAGCATTCCATACAAGTGGCATGTTGAAATCTGTGGAACTTCACTCACGTCGTCAGTTTCCGCCACCCAGAGACCAGAGGTAGCTGCGGTCCATCAGATGCACCATTTGCATGTAAGCCTGCGCCAACACCCTGCACAGGAAAAGGTAGGCTTTCTAACCGAGTTCGTGTAGACCACGGCCAAAAAGCCCGCTTTCAGCTGGACCTCCAGTGTGATTTCAGCCCCAATAGATGCAAGTCTCTCAAATAGCTCACTGTTCGATCTGTACGGCTCTACCCTCACGGCAGAGTTGGTACACCTCCCACATGCGTTGCAAGTGGCGCGCGTCCGGCAGACAGCGTACACCTGCACCGAGGACGGCCGGCCGCTGCCGCAGGTGGCGTGGATCCAGCGCAGCGGCGCCGCCGTGCTGGCCGTCCAGACGGAGCGCATCGCGCCCGACCCGCGCATCCGGGTAACGCATGAGAACCGGCGTACCTGGCACCTGCACATCCAGAGCGTGCGGCCCGGCGACCAGGGCTGGTACACCTGCCAGGTCAACACCTGGAACGTCACCGAGCAGCACGCCTTCCTCGAGGTCACAGGTAGGTTAGCAGCCGGCCAACAGCAGCTGCGGGCGGGTACCCTGGGGAAGGGCTGCCTCAAGTCACAGGAGGGTCAGCAGCCGGCCGGCATTGGCTGCGGACGGGTACCTTGGAGAGGGGCTGCCTCAGGTCGCAGGAGGGTCAGCAGCCGGCCGGCAGTGGCTGAGGACGGGTACCTCAGAGAGGGGCTGCCTCAGGTCGCAGGAGGGTCAGCAGCCGGCCGGCAGTGGCCGCGGACGGGTACCTCAGAGAGGGGCTGCCTCAGGTCGCAGGAGGATCGGCAGCCGGCCGGCAGTGGCCGCAGACGGGTACCTTGGAGAGGGGCTGCCTCAGGTCGCAGGAGGGTCAGCAGCCGGCCGGCAGTGGCCGCGGACGGGTACCTCAGAGAGGGGCTGCCTCAGGTCGCAGGAGGGTCAGCAGCCGGCCGGCAGTGGCCGCAGACGGGTACCTTGGAGAGGGGCTGCCTCAGGTCGCAGGAGGATCGGCAGCCGGCCGGCAGTGGCCGCAGACGGGTACCTCAGAGAGGGGCTGCCTCAAGTCGCAGGAGGATCGGCAGCCGGCCGGCATTGGCTGCGGACGGGTACCTTGGAGAGGGGCTGCCTCAGGTCGCAGGAGGATCGGCAGCCGGCCGGCAGTGACCGCGGACGGGTACCTTGGAGAGGGGCTGCCTCAGGTCGCAGGAGGATCGGCAGCCGGCCGGCAGTGACCGCGGACGGGTACCTTGGAGAGGGGCTGCCTCAGGTCGCAGGAGGATCGGCAGCCGGCCGGCAGTGGCCGCAGACGGGTACCTTGGAGAGGGGCTGCCTCAGGTCGCAGGAGGATCGGCAGCCGGCCGGCATTGGCTGAGGACGGGTACCTTGGAGAGGGGCTGCCTCAGGTCGCAGGAGGATCGGCAGCCGACCGGCAGTGACCGCGGACGGGTACCTTGGAGAGGGGCTGCCTCAGGTCGCAGGAGGATCGGCAGCCGGCCGGCAGTGACCGCGGACGGGTACCTTGGAGAGGGGCTGCCTCAGGTCGCAGGAGGATCGGCAGCCGGCCGGCATTGGCTGAGGACGGGTACCTTGGAGAGGGGCTGCCTCAGGTCGCAGGAGGATCGGCAGCCGGCCGGCAGTGACCGCGGACGGGTACCATGGAGAGGGGCTGCCTCAGGTCACAGGTGGGTGGTCCGACGGCCAGGCAGCAGCCGCGGGGTAGGACCTGAGGATCGCCACAGAGATGTCCCCATCTCTGGTGACCGTTAGGCCGTCATCTTTTGCAAACATCGAGACGATGGCTTTGGCGGGCATCTCTGGTCGGCAAGCGCCATTTTTGTTCGCACTGACACACGGAGAAGGAAACAAAAAAACGAAAGCAAGTTATGATTGCATCGTAACAGACGAAGTTCAAAAGATCGCGTTGTTATGTTGATACAAGATCAAAATAGATAGAGCCAACTTATGGAGAAATGAATGGTCTAAACTAAAAGTTTTTAGAATGTTATGCTGTCATACCGTTACTGCGCGCCATTGTCTGTAGCAACGTTGTGATGTAGTGCAAGGTATAATACCTTTGTTACAACGAGCGCGATCTTGCTGCAACGTTTACCGATAATTTACTTGTTTTTCATGCGTGGTCAAAGACTAGAAACTGGTCCGTTAAGTAACGAGTTCTGTTGACTCCACGAGCGGCTATCAGTTGTCACCTGTCCTATCTCAGCCCCTGACCTGGCGCTCAGAGCAGCGCCCCTCTGCCAGCAGTGCTCTACCCCCGCTCTGTCTGGCCAGCGCCCAGCAGTGCCCTGCCCCCGCTCTGTGTGGCCAGTGCCTCTCTCCGCCAGTAGTGCCCTGCTCCCGCTCTGCGTGGCCAGTGTCCCTCTCCGCCAGTAGTGCCCTGTCCCCGCTCTATGTGACCAGTGTCCCTCTTTACCAGTAGTGCCCTGCCCCCCTCTGTGTGGCCAGTGCCGCCGGACATTTCCAACGAGAGGAGCTCGAGCGAGGTGAAGGCGTTCGAGGGCGACAACGTGACGCTGATCTGCCACGCGTCCGGTGTACCTCAGCCGAACGTGACCTGGCGGCGCGAGAACGACCTGCCGCTGCCGCTGAGGTCATCAACACCAGGTCGGTGGCGACAGGTGTCTGTCAGCTCGTCTGTCCTGTCCTCCACCCGCCCGGACATGTCGGCCGGACAGGCCGCCCAACGCGCCGCCCAACGTGGGCGGCGCGCCCACGCAGGCCCGCACGGTGCGCTCAAAGGCCTTACGGGACCCACCGGGGATGCTCAAGTTGTGCTTTGGCTGTGGTGGTGACGGTGATCGTGTGGCGACCAACAACACTGGCTCCGTGCTGACAGGGAACAGTTGTGACATGGGTAAGTGAAATAGTCACCAAGTTTTCGTGGGCCCATGAGCTTGATTGCTGAGTTACAGAAACCGCAAAATTACAGGCATAAAGGTGTCTTCCCCTCTGTTATAAAACTGGTTTTACCGAGGTACCAGCAGTGATGAGTAGATCAAACGAGGGCACTGTTTATTTCTCGGATAAAACCGAATGTTCGGGAGATAGGAGACTGGGCTTAGACCTGACGCAAGCACAGTCATCACACCGTGCACTCGGCAATCGATGGTGCCTCACGCAATGCACAGGTGAAACATCAATTAGGTAGTTAAAAACATCTTGATGCAAAGCGTTATGTCCCCCGCCATTTCGCCAGGCCCATCCAACACGAATTTTGCTAGCACATCAGCGTTCCAATCTTCACAGGCTCCCCGCAAACATCTCCGACATTTGTGCGCTTTCGAACCGACGCATCCCCTAACCAAACCCGCAAAATTGCGAACCATAAATCACGAGTAAGCGTAAACAGCTGGGTTGCAGGCAGATTGCTGCTGGCCGTCGGCGCTGTCCATTGCCGTCGCCGCCACGGACGGAGCTGTCCGATGGTCGTCGGTCGCGCCCCGCTGAGATACGGGGTACCCCGTCGGGCCGATGATCGCTGGCCGTCGATGGTGTGTGCGCTGATGACGAACGGCGATCGGCCGGTCAGCTGGCGGCCCGGGCAGCTGGCACGCGCCGGTCCGGCCCAGCCCAGCCCGGCGCCGCCGCCCCTGGAGCCCGGCCAGCGCCCGCTGTCCCGCTGATGGATGACTTTTTATCAGATAGTGATACGGGTGGGCGCGGGTGGCGCCCGGCCGCGCACTGCGCTGCCGCCGGAGACGCGGTCGCTAAATGAAACGGCCGGCGCCAAACGGCCGCGCCGACAATGCCCTCCGGCCGTTTGAATTTCGATGGGGTCGGCACGCCACCGCCGCTGATGGATGAGGAGGCCGGGCGGCGGCGGCTGCGGGCGGGACGGGGCCTCCCCGAGGCCTCGGGCCGGGTAGGACGCCGCGCGCTCAGCGGTCGCCGGGCGTCGACAAGCCTCCCGAAATGAAGTTCCTGTTGTGCTCGCAGACTGATTAGAAATCGACCGGCGCAAGACGGCGCGTTTTTGTCGGTGCCGTTTTGGAATCTCAGACGTCACCGGATACGCAGTGATATCCTGTCGTCCAGCATGAGGCACATTGAGACCTGGTGTTGTTTCGCACACTGATACCTGGTGTTATTACGCACATTGAGACCTGGTGTTACGTACATTGAGACCTAGTGTTGATACGCTCATTGATACCTGATGTTGTTACGCAAATTGAGACCCGGTGTTGCGCACGGCGCTGCGCTCTCGACGACTGGCCTGCTGTGCGTTGAACGCGTGATTCCTAGCTTCGTTATAGGAACTTCCAGATGGTTCACCTCTGATGGCGACAAAAACTTCGTGCCTATCTAATCAATCAAACTGCCATCGGCCTTTTTTCCCGGCGGCCGTGGTTGCGACCGAAAATTGCGAGCCTCTTAGTTGATTTATCAACTGAATGAGAAATTCACCCCTTCCTCATCTTGGCCCGGGGTTTTATTACGGGCCACAGAACTAATTTTCATCATAGGAACACAAGAAGTAGATCAATTTATCATAGGAGTGTGGAGACAGAAAAATAAGATATCGGCAAATCCACACTTTTGATTATGGGGATTGATAGAGGAAAAAATAGTCTAGATGCATGATCTTTAATCGGTCAGTGGTCACAACACTGGCTTATTGATACGCGCTGTATTATGAATGAATCAAAAACGGAATGTGCCGTCTAACCGTGTTTTGCACATACTCGAACAACTTTGTTCGTTAGCTGTGCGTTTGACTCAAATACTAGACAGGCACCTGAGTCAGAAGTCTACGAGTGAATACTCTATGGCCACCCATTTCTCATACACAAATGTTCATGTCCATGCAACATGGCTGCGAGCTCGATACGTTTCATTACCTCCTATTAGTTTCAAGGACCAGTATCTTTGATGTTTTATATTCCTCCATTGGCTGCAGCGTGTCAGTCATCCAGCTGGTTTTCGGTGCTATCAGATAATCGGCTTGCATTCTGGCATGGCGTCGAGTTCATGCTGGCTGGGCAAGTCTGTTTTTAAAGACCAGCAATCGGGCACCGTGACGATGCCCCCACCCCCATACCACCACTGTCAACCATGCCGATCCATACTGACCTCTGAGAACGGCTGCTGATCTGGGCCTATGCATGGTATTCGCAGGAGTCTCCTGCTCATCGCCGCTTATCCTGGACAGTCCCGTCTATCCTGGCCGGTCCCTGGTGACCCTTCCAGATACTCACCGCTGGCTCCGCCTGACCCTTAGTGGCGTGAACTGATTCCTTCTGACCCGTTCGGTTCCTAATGAGCCGGACTGACCTCTGCTGACCCTTCCGCCGCCTACAGTCTGCCGCCATCTGACCAGCGATCAATCGACAGAGTCGAAGCGGCATTAATCCCCGCGCGCTATTTGTCTTCGTCAGCGCGGATGGCGAACGAGAGCTGGCCGCCGCTGGCCGTCCGCGCCCGGCATTCCGTCGGTCGTCGGCAGCTGTCGACGGCGACGATCGGACGTCATCGGTGTCGACAGCGCGCACCGGGGCCCCCTTAAACGTCGATTGCCGCTATTGTCCGCGCATCGGCAACGGCCGGCGGCGCGCCGGCTGCGCCGCGAGCGAGGAGAGCCGGTCACAGGGACGACTGCTGCCGGGTACTGATGCAGGGCGGCTGGGCGCGGCTCGTCACTCCGGGTACTGATGCAGGGCGGCTGGGAGCGGCTTGTCACTCTGAATGGCTCCTCGCGCCCCTCGCGCTTGATGGCTCCCACACCGGTCCGAAGCCGACTATGGCCAGGCTCCGGGAGGACGGGAGAGGGCGTGAGGCTGGCGACAGATTGTGAGTCAGTTGGTCAGTTCTGGGCGACAGGTCAACAGATATAGTGTTGTCTTTGTGCAGGAACGAAAGATCATGTTTCACTAGGTTGGAAATACATTCAGTTTGCTCACCAGGGAAGCCGCTTTATAGGCGGTTCGCCATCGTCTAAAGGGGTCGTGCTGACATTTGCCACGCTCGGAAACCAGGTACGGGGTCAGGTCCGACCCGGGTTAATATTTTAGCACATAAAGAGCCACATGCGTCCCAAGTGACGCGCGGAGGAGCCAGAGAGCTCAAGCCTACCTGCAAACTTGCCATCCTGCATGATTGAGGGTGTCTCTACCACGGCCGAATGATAACATCACTCAGCTTTCAGTCATGACTGGGTCCTGGTCTAGCTCCGGTGGAACCCAGGTCAATGACAAAACGCCTGCCGACACTGATGGCCTCACTACATAGCCGGTCGGGTGCGGTGGCGCATTGTTTAATCGTGCCCGAGTTGGCCATTGAGCCGAGTCTGTCCTGGGTGACCACTGCAGCGATTGCTATCGTCCACGGCACACGGCTGGAGCTGCGGGCAGATAACATTGAAGCAACCTGCTCTTCTATATGGTATTGGTTCATCACATCGATTGAAGCGACGCCCACTGGATGGAACAAAACCAGAGCTGTGTTGAGGTCGACCACATTTGTATCGCTGTCCGGTCCAGCTTAGTTTTGTTATTATTTCTTTGACTGTTGTTTCTTTGCTTAGGGTTATTATATATCATATATATATATATATATATATATATATATATATATATATATTATAAGGGAATGACACATGTAGTAACAATATTAGAGCCCATTTAAGGCCCAACTTTACTTGGTGGACTTTTTTAGAGATTTATGAGGCGTTCGATTTCACCACTTGACGTCTTACATCCACTCTCGCAATAGGTTTCGAAATCCCCACCTGTGTGCTAACCACCAAATGGCACATGTTTTTAAGAGCGCATTCACGTGGAGGAAATGGGGTAAAAAGGCACCTAATATTTCAGTGGATTTCATTGAGTTCCATGGTGTGTTTTTTCCATGGCATGATTCCCCGACTCATCCACAGTTTAGGCATCGGCATGATATTGTCATCGACGTCAGACGCAACAATACCTGGCTGGGAAATAACTATAACCTTTGGGTTTGGCTTGCCATATTGACTATGCCTGTTTCCAGTCAACGTCTGTAGTAAAAGAGCGGTTTTGTGAGATGTGTAGCGCCCAAAAAGCATCGGTGAGTTCATGTGTACGAACAAGGTCGCGAATCCCAATATATTGTTTCGTGTTACAATGCTCTGAAGTGAAGGACGAATTTGCTACGTCACACATGGACCCGTGAAGGCAGTAAAAACAGCAAAGTCAGCTTTTCTTTTAGAAACGTAGGTGCTTAGAAATGCCAAAATAGAGGCAGTTTTCAGCTCCGCCAAAGGTACGTGGAAGTCATCATGTGAAATCTTTTCATCCACCGCACCACCAGTAACAACGCAGCCAATGTTTTTCCAAACTCAGCCCCCTTTCTATCTTTCTAGATTTTCGACTGGGTGCGCCTTCATGTTGTCGGGCCCCTCTCCTGTTCGTGCGTGCATGCGTCTTTTCGGTATTCTCCACGCCCGTTTACATAGGACTGGCGGTACAAAAAAAGCCAAAGTCATATTGCATGAATGATTAGCTCTAACTAAACGCATATCATAGCTTTCTTGCGCTCTAATTGGCTGGTGTCGCTTCTGTTGGTGTCATTTTGTTATCTGCACTTAAAATGTTTGTTGATTGTGCAGGTCTCTTCTCATTGGCAGCTCCCAA